GTACAAACACAAAACAATATACTTAATTTAATAGTTTAAAAATGTAAATAATTCTGAATTATTTAGCAACACTGATTAAACAAAACCAGAACAATTTATAATAAAAATACCCCTATCCGTTGAAAGAAATATGTTACTAATAAAGAAGTCCATTTTCCATTTAAGAAATCACATTAAATAAAGTAATGAACAAAATTTGTTTACCTCCTTTAATTTTTTCAACTTTGAATTATTTAAATCTTATTCGTCATCTACCGCACTTCACTGAAATGTAACATGAAGGTGAATACTTATGTTGACAGCTTATATTGCCAACATATTATGTACAAAAATTAATCTGAATAAAAAGTTCAAAATTCCATTACGTTCATCATCAGCTGAAAATTCGCGTGCTTTATAAATACTTCCTTGTCACAAACTTATTTTAAGAATATGGTAGTAGCTGGTTAAATTTAAGTTTTAAATTAAAAATAAATTATTAATCGTAAAATATCTAATTGAAATCAATCTAAAATAAACGAAATTTTCACATTATAAAGTAAATTAGGTTCTGTTACGCTAGCGCATGAACGTGTCGTTCATAGTTTTAGTAGTTTTCGTAGTTCGTAGTTTTAGTCGTTCGTCGTGCATGCCCGTGAACGTGGCTTTACGGCGGTCTGAATCCGGTGTCATGTGGCGCCTCGTAATATGAATGTTAAAGCGCGCCAAATTCAAATTGTACAGCGGTGTAGCCGAAGCAATGAACAAAAGAACTCAAAACATGTACATACAGTGTACAGTAAATCTCATTGATTGCTATTTGCATTCGCTCGTTAAAATCAATATTTATTGTCGTCGCTATGGACAAAACATTGCCGAGGTGTAAAACACTCGCTTTAAAGGAAATATGTATTGATAAACAAATGTTGAGAACCAATTAAATTCATCCTTAAATAACTTTATATAAAATCTTTAGTTTAATTGGTGACGATTGTTTTAATAAAAGCATGTAAACATTATAAATAATAGTCAACAACGCCTGAACATTCAATTCAATTTTCTTCGTTCAAAGAGCTCAAACATATTATCTCGTAATAAAGTTATAATTAAACATTTCGTTAATTATTGTTCCAATCAAGTTATTTATTAGTTTATAAAAGGTTTCAACGTTAGTTTTCCTTATTCATTAAATTTCCTAAACTATCGTGAGCAGAGTACTTCAGTGCTCCACGGGCGATAATTCCCTCAAATTCCCCAAGAACCCACGTAACATTTCAATTAAATTTTTTCATTATGTTATTAAACAAAATGTAAATACTCAAATATTATAATACCATGAAACACATTGTAGACAATATTCTAATAAAATATTCAATTACTTTTGTTTAACAGTCAATTCATATTTATTTAATACTGTACAGCAATTTAAAGTATTACCCATTTATAAATCTAAATAGTAGATATGTCCATTTATAACACGTTATATTTGTCAGAAGTATATTTAACTATCTGATGTTTCTGGACGCTCTACGCTCCTTCGCAAGCGGGCACTTATGAATCGCTCAAATTCCCCATTTGCGTGGTTTGAACGGTAGCCACCAGATGACTCATCTTTAATTTTCTCGCAAGTGCGCGCTTCAGCCTTCATTTCAACATATAGGGTATTCTGTTTAACTAAAAACAGTGGAATATCTCACCAGGAATCGAAGTTATGAAAAGAATATTCTTACAAAAGTTGTTCGGTATGTAGAGAAGTATTAGGTGGTATAAATAATTTTTCTACGACCGCCGCACAGTGGCAGATTTCGCCGAAATCTGGGCCAAAAGTCATATTTCTAAATCTAAGAAAAATTATCGTATTAAATGGTCATAATATGTCTCTAAAATGATAATGTACTTATTTAACGTTAAATATTGAGTATAAAAATGTAAAATACATCCTATTTTAGTTGTTTTTTAACATATATTATAAAATATTAACTAATTATATCTTTTTCTTGTGCTTCCTCTTCTTATTCTTCATCCTCCTCCTCTTCAAGATAAAATTGTCGTACTAAATTGCAATAATATGTTGTTAAAATGATAATGTACTTTTTGAATGTTAAATATTAAGTATAAAAACAATTTTGGTCAAATATAGAAGTGATGATAAATACTTATAAGTAGAAGAATGTAAAATACATCCTATTTTAATTGTTTCTTAATATTTATTATAGAATATTAATTAATTCTATGCTGCTTCTTCTGCTTCCTCTTCTTCCATTTTCTCTTCAAAAGAGATTATCTACTAAATTGCAGTAATATGACTTTAAAATAATAATGTACTTTTTCAATGTTAAATATTGTGTATAAAAATGTAACATACTTCCTATTTTGGTTGTTCCTTAATATTTATTAAGTGTGCGTCTTTGTCTATTGTTGTCGCTGAGTAAATGAAAATTAATGTATTCTGCCTATTTCGTATTTCTAATCCTATGCTGTAAATGTACTACCTATTAAATAGACAGGGCCATTTAGGTATAAAATTAGGCACAATAATCAAGCAAATCACGATATGTATTCCGATTCTATGCTATTCATGTGCCACCCTATACGCGGCGCGGACGGCAAAGAAATAACAATAACTCAAAATATCGGAAAATATCACAAAAAAGGGCAATATGCCCTTCTTCAGGAACCTTCAAAGTTTATGTTAAAACAAGAATGGCCGCTTAACCTCGCTTGTTCCGTAACTATTTCCCTAGTAGAACAAAGGAAATGTATAGGTCTTAAATTCTCCTCCATTACAGCTGTAAAAATGAAATAAAGCAATAAAACCAGAATATACATTAATTTAGAGCATGTCAAATAACTACCAACATTGAAAGAAAAGAATTATAGTTCAATAATAAACCATAAAGTTAATTTCAATTCTGGTATGAAAATATCACATTCTGAAACTAACGACTCTGAGATCGCATATCTCCAAGAGGATTGAACAATGAAAGCTGGTATTAGTGAAAAATCATGCTTTGACAATGTGTAAGGAGAATCAATGAATTGAGGCGTATTCGATAGGAATGACTTTATTTGCTATGGTATAGGTTAACTTGCTTAGGTCATCACCGTTCGACTTTCTAACCAAGACTGGCTTTCCGACCAGGAAAGCCCCTTTTTCCGCCGTTGCCAAATGTGCGTCGCCAAAGGCCTCGAGGGTTGGTTGCCGATGTTCGTGGCGTCGTAGTCCTCGGGTCCGATATCGCCTACTCCTATTACTCTAAACATCCGGGCCGGCCGCCCGAATGCCCGTCTCGACGGCGCCCTCGATTTCTCTTACAAATACATAAATGAAATGCAATACATAAAATTTTTAAATTCTGAAAAAAATTTTTTGACTTTTAGCGCAGTGAGATTTCGGCGAAATTTGCCACTGTGCGCCGCACCGTAAAGTGCGACAACCAATATTGTAGGAATAAAATTTTAAGAGTATCTATCCGTTAATCATAGAGACGACACCACGAGTAAAATGAGACCGTAGCGCCTACGCAGGCTTTATCGTACCCAATCGTACCGTATTGTATCGTGTCGTATCGTATCGTATCGTATCGTATCGTGGTTACTTCTATTCTGCCCGCGTGCGCCGCGGGCACGTGTTTTTATCGTGGCGTCGTCCGAACGTTCCCGACATTTCCTTTAAATTCGGTGTGTTGGGTTAGTGTTTTTTGCCTGCCCGGCCGCGGTACGTCAAGCATTCTCGGAGCCAACGCTCACATACACGCACACACACTCATGCTCGCTTGCACGTGCCTATCGGGAGCTGAATACAACGAGAAGGTTCAATTGACCGTGTTCGCGATTTTTCCATTATGCCTGCTTCCTACAATATTGACGCATACGCTGCCATGGACGCACAATTGTAAGAGAAATTGAAGGCGCTGTCGAGACGGGGATTCGGGCGGCCAGCCCGGATATTGATGGTAATAGGAGCAGGCGATATCGGGCCCGAGGGACTGAGCCGCCACGAACATCGGCGACCAACCCTCGAGGCCCTTAGTGACGCCTTTTTGGGAACGGCGGGGAAGGGGCTTTCCTAGCCGGAAAGGCAGTCTCGCTTAGGGAGTCACCGAGTAACGGCTAACCAAGCGCACCCACACTAATAAAGTTTTAACTTCAGATACGCGCCTGGTCATTCTTTTTCCTTACACAATTGAGTCGTTTAAAGCAAAAGTAGTGTAAGTCAATTTTTTGCATTTTGAGGTAACACCACATCTCGAAAGATTAACCTTCCTTCTGTTTTGTGCAAAAGTGGTGTAAGGATATCTTCATTAGTTTCTCGGTAGATGGCAAAGTAAGTAAGAACCACCAACTCGATTGGCATGGACGCTATATGCAAGAATGGTGCAAGTTAGTCTTGGGTGTAAGATAAGTGACATTGGACTTCTGGATTTTGAAGAAGAAGCGAGCGATGAATAAGAGCTTAACGTTATCGCTATCCAAGTTTTCGATTTAAATTCATGACAATATAAACCACATTTTATACATTTTATTCATTTTAAAAAACTAATTTGTTTGATAATTAATAAAGCAGTTGAAACGTAATGTCTACCTCAACAAACAGATCCCTTTTTTTATTACATCTAATAATAATTACCTTCCCGGTTTGTACGAAAATGGTGTAAGTCTGAAAAATAGTGAATAAAATAATTATATATACACTTGATTTTCGGGGCAAAATGGCATTATTAGCTTAAGGTATAACTATACAGAGGCTTACATAAAAAAGATTTAACATTCGTTCATATCCCTAAATTTTACAGAACTTTTACTTTAACCCTTAATATGTAGAAATCGCCTCTTTTGACTTACACCACTTCTGCTTTAAACGGCTCAAATATCTTCGTTTTTCTTATGACTGTGCCGCCTTCATTCTTTCTCTTCCAGTCCTCTTCCATGTCCTCGATGAAAATATTGAAGAGAGTGGGACTGAGCGTGCAGCCCTGTCTCACTCCCCTCCGCGTACCGAAGCTTTCCGTTAGTCCTGAAGTGAACACCACATTTGTGGTGTTTTTATACAGGGTGTCCCGTAACTCCTCGAACATCCGGAAATGGGGGCTTGCTGGAGTGACTCTGAACAACTTTTTCCTTTACCAAAATGTTGTTTGAAGCTTCATTTTTGAATTATTAACGAAAAACACTGTCCAATCAGAGCGCGCGTAGAGCCCGCGCTCAGGGACGGGCGAACAGAGATTCACCCGCGCGCTATC